GAGCAGTCCAGCCCGGAGCCCAGGGCAGCCCCGGCACAACTGCGTGGGTCGTGCTCCGGCTGAGGCTGATGCTCACCTCGATATTCCCCCCAACTCTTGCCAGCAAAGGAGGGAGAGGCTTGTCCCGGTCACTCTTCAGCTGTCTCCGGGATTGTCTTCTGCCACCTAGAGTCAAGCAGCCTCAGTGATGGATGGGCCCAGGCAGCGAGGAAGGACGGCCGAAGTGCTCGCGTGCCCCAGGCCTCCCACGCTCCCTCCCGACGGGAGCAGACCCCCGGGCAGAGCAGCACCCCGGGCTGCAGAGCCCCTTCCACCTGTCCCGCCTGCCTCCCCGGCTGGGGCACCCTTCTGCCCTTACCATGCCTGTCCCTCCTGCGGTCCCCATCCTGCCACCATGAGGACCAGACCAAGGTCCTGCAGCAGCCAGTGAAGAAAACAGCCGGTTGTCTTCCCTGCCCTGGGATTCTCCTCACCTGGCAGGCAAGTGGGGATACCTCCCCCGGAATGGAGGCCCAGAAGCATGCCAGTCCCTCCAACCCAGATGTTTCTGCTGCACCTGAGTGCCAGGGGCTTCCCACAGAGCAAAATCCCGTGGAGTATTGAACACATCAACTCACTCTGACCTTCCGGCCTCTCTTCAAAGTCTTCATCCTCATCCTCGGAGCCAATGGAGTACTCCGACTGGTTGTCAGAGAGCTCGTCCTGCCACTCTGCAGACCGCAAGGCATTAAAAGAAGGGTTAACAAGAGTGCCTGAGCAGTGGGACCCTGCCCGGGAGGGACAGGCATGCCCACAGGTGTGACTGGCATCCACTGCCAGGCAGCGAGAGGGGACACAACATGCAGGAAATCACACTCTCAGGTTTTCCAAAATTAGGATTTTCTTATACAGAAAAGGCCCAATTTGAAACATTTTGCCCACAGACATGGTTTTTTTTCCAAAATTCTTCTGGCAAAACCAGAGCTTACAGACCAAAAAATAAAAAGAAAAAAATCCTTGAAGAATTTCTATCCTGCAGAGTTTAGGAATCTGGGTAGTACAGAGCCACGCAGTCTACCAAACTGCAGAGAAACGCCAAGCAACGACTCGGCCAATATGTCCATGAGGGAACCTGCTTGTGCTGCTTTTCAGAGCCAGCCTGCAGGGCCCACTGCCCACCCCGAGCCCAGCCAGCAGCCGAGCAGCCACAGACGTACCTTGGTCCTCCTGCGAGGCGTCGTTGTAGTTGACCTGCTTGCGGATCCTCTTCCCTTTCCCCAGGTTCCTGGCCAGATCTTCCTGCTGCTGCTCATAGTGGTGCCGCAGCAGCTTCTCCCAGTAGTCGGGGTCCACATTCTCCTCTTGCTTGATGATCTCACGTTCCACCTCCTCCTGCAAAGTAAGAGACAAGAGGTTTGAGCTCGGGCAGCCACAGACCTGCCCGCATCGCCCCATGCCTGTCCTCTAACGGCACTCCAGGGAGAGAGGGAGGGCACCGAGCCACTGCCTGGCATTTGGCTCCTGGGTCTTTGCCCAAACGTACTGACCTCGGTGCAAGGTTGTCAGGGGGCTGAGACAACCTCCCACCCAGAAAGAGCTCCTCCGGACACTGCCGTCCATCCCACCCTGCGGTGCCCCCGCTCGCATCGAGGGCAAAAAACTACAGATCTGCAGAGACCTCCCAGAACAGCAGCCTGCTACCGGCTTCATCAACAGATGAAGGACATAAGTCAGTCGGCTGCTGAGCGGTACATACACGGCACCCTGCCCGTTCCCCGTCTGCAGGGGAACGCCTTCAGAGGGGCAGAAGGCACCTATGGACACTTTGATCAAGTGAGGTCCTGCACCAGCAGGACAGAGCCCGGCTCACACTCTGGGCTGTGCAGGACAAAGACCACCGCGCTTCCTCTGCCCGTGGCCGGAGCCATCGGCCCCAGGACCCCCAGGGCTGGAACAATCTACAGGAGTCACAGAGCCGGGAGGAGTCCTGCCCACACCAAAACACCCGCCAGAACAGGAAAGGGAGCGGAAGAAACACAGAGGGAAGTACAAAGAGGTGTGATTGTAAGACATGATACTAATCACATTACCACACCGTCCTCTTCTCTCACAACATACTGGGCCACTTTAAAGGAGCTGAGATACTCGTTCATGTTCTGCAGCTCCGTGTCATCAGTCGCATCCTGGTTTCGGTCCAGCAGCTTAGAGATGGCAGCGTCGTCGTAGTGGATCACACTGCTGTCATCCACATCCTTATTGTCACCTGGAGGGCAAAGCGAGGGGAACGGAAGCACAAATCGCCGTGCCGGAGACGGCCCGCTGCCAGAGCCACGTGAGCCCGGTGGGGCGCAGGGCCAGGGAAGGGGACAGGTCGCCCCAACCAGGGGGGCTACACACCTGGTGGGGTGCCACCATGCTTTTTTTTCATGCCGGGAGTCACTGCACCCCCTTTGGTTGACAGCGTGTCAGAGAAAGGGGTGACAGCATCTGGCATGGCGATCCGCTGTCCCTGAGACACCATGCCTGCGGGCGTAAGAGGAGGAGGATGAGCCCCGGCAGCTCAGACGGGGCCCCATCACGTGCAGAGTGTCCCCAGCGCCTTCCCGACCTCACCTTCCACATCGTCCTTGAAGAGCTCTTCTGTCCCAAACTTGAGGATGTCATCCAGCTCTTGCTTGGTCATGGAGCCCGACTTGGAGCCGAGCCCCGGGCGGACGACCAGGTGGGTGAGCATCATCTTCCTTTTGGCCACCTGCGTGATGCGCTCTTCCACAGAGGCTCTGGTCACGAAGCGGTAGATCATCACCTTCTTGTTCTGCCCGATGCGGTGAGCTCTGCTGAACGCCTGCGGGCAGAGAACAAAGCTGATGAGGGCGGCACCGTGCCACGCCGGCCGAGGGACCCGAGCTTCTCACCCCCCAGGCTGCACAAAGGCGAGGGCAGGGCTGGAGTCACCGTTCAAGGCTGCTACGGGGCAGTGGAGCCGGGGGGGTCCCCAGAGCCAGCCGGAATACGCTGGCCCCCTCCGCTGACTGCGGGCAAGCCAGCTTCCCCACGCAGGCCCCTGAGCGAGGGCTCTGAAGGCAGGCAGCGAGGACACGGTCCCCCAGAACCCTCCAGCTGCAGATCCACCAGGCCAGCCCTGCCCCAGCACAGCCTCTTGCCTAGGGCCCAGGGAAAGGAAACGCTGGCACAAACGGACGGCAGCAGTGGACGCAGCTTTGGAGAGGACCTTCTCCCAGCCGGGAAGCACGGGAGGAATAGGCATTTCTCTTTTCCACTATTTTCAGAGGCGTTGGCTACTCCCCTGCTCCAGCTGTCATTTAGCCCTTAGCGAGGGTCCGCCCTGGGCTTTGGGAAACGCAAGTGGGAGCTCCCCAGAAGAGGGGGGGCACCTGGTTGTGAACAAGCAGCAGGAGGAAGCGAGAAGCCCGGAGGAGAGCCAGTTTACGTGCCAGGTCCCTCCCATGCTGCAGACCAGCCAGGGCGAGGCCAGTGGATGCGGGAAAGGGGCTGCTGAGCAGAAACACACCCTACAAACACAGCAGAAAGCATCGGCAGCTCGAGAGAGAAGAGACCGACTTCCCTGCGCAGGGTGTGCGAACAGAGGGCAGAGCCACAGAGGTACTTACTATATGGGAAGGAAAAGGAAAAGTCAGAAACCTGGATGTCATTGTGGGGATTCCAGTCAGAATCATAAATAATGACTGTGTCGGCTGTAGCAAGGTTTATGCCCAGACCGCCGGCGCGGGTAGAGAGGAGAAAGCAGAACTGCTGAGCACCAGGAGCTGAGAAAGACAAACCCACAGGTGGCAAACGGTGAGACAAAAAGGAGCGCGGCTTACGTGGAAAGATGCGGTACCGCGCTTTGGGGAGAACCATCGGTCTAAGGCAACAAGCAACAGACAGGGAAGGCAAGGAGTGAAAAACCATCGTTCCTGGGAACCAGTTACTGGAGAAAACGCAGCTCCAGAGCTGAAGGGAAACTCTGCCATCTACCCAGGCCTCGAAGGGAAACGCAGGAGTCCCTCAAACTAAGCAGCCTGCCATTGGCACACTCAGGGTTCATCGGGGGACACGATTCAAACAACACTTCACGACACGGTATGAGCAG